GGGCCGCGGCCACCTCGGCAGGCAGCCCCATCCTGCACAGGCTGCCTGTCCCTGGGGACGGGGACGGCTCTGCACAAAGCCCACAGCATCTCAGATGCAGTGGTAGCTCCCTCATCTTGGGGCTTTTGAGAGAGTGGAAAGCATCTGCTTCTCAAATTCCCAGGGTCTAGCCCAGATGCTTGGGCTGGCATAACTCTTAGAGGGAAAAGGGGTGAAGGAAGGAGAGGACAGAGCAATCCTTTGGCATAGTCCTGCTTTGCACATCAGGGATCACCAGGCCACACAATCTGCTTGCCAGGCAACTTGCTCTTGGTGATACATCACTGAGTCCTTGAAGAGGAGACTTAGCAGGTGATTTTGGCCTGAATGCAGCCATGAGACATTTCAATTCTTGCTGCCGGGGCCAAACGCTGCCTCCCTTGCCCTGCTGCAGCCTAGAGGACCCTGGCTGCCAGTAAGGCGGTAGGATCCACCCAGCCTCGTTTGCCACTCACAAGCTCTGAGCAAACAAGCCCAGCCCTGCCCCTCGCACGCACCTTCATTCCAATAACTTTGCCCTCCACACATGCCTTTGCTCCTATTGCTCTGCCTGGGATAGCACCTCATGGCATGCCCATGTCCTCTTGCAGGTCCGGTGTGATAGTCGGGCTCTCTGGAAGCAGCAGCCTGTCACAAGGGGGTCAGTTGTATTGGGCAGGTCTTGAAAAACATCCTTGGGGCAGCCTAGCACTGCCTGGAGCTCAGAAGTACTTTTAATACCTCTGGTGCTGGGTCCTGCAAAGGAACCAAAGGCCCTTGCCTGAAGCTGGTGGCGTTGCAGGAATCCATGGGGAAGGATTGGCACCCCCATCTCCAGGGCAGCTGCTCGGACTGCCAGTTCCTCTGCCCCACGCTTCGTAGCAGCACATGACTCCTCCCTTTCAATGGGGAAGGCAGAAAGTGCTAGAGATCTCCAGAAGAGTCTGTGCTGCACCCAGACAACTCTTCCAACATGTGGCAGGACCTCAGGTGTTAATAGCGACTGAACGGCAAGGACAGAGCCAGCACAGCCCAGGGCTTTGGTACACTGCACTGCGTTCTTTAATGGCAACAGCAAATACGGCTCTGATGCCTTGGCCAGTATGTGGCCTCTGTACATCTCTCAGCGCTTTATACAGTACCCTGGGACCCCTGGGCCTACAGAAGGGGAAACCGAGGCACCAAGGGATAGAGCAAGGCAGGCAAGGCAGCACAGCTGACCCAGGTCCTGGCCACATGCCTCAGCTGCTCATAGAATCATCAGATCTTCTCTGCCCTGGGCAAGGCTGCAGAACAGGTTTATTGTAGACCAAGAGTCGATAGAAAGGAAGCTTACAAAATAAATAAGTATCTATATACGCCTATATACAATCCACGCGCACCCCGTGGACAGACCTCACAGCATGCATGCAAAAGCGCTTTCAAGCACAAATTAGCGCAATCACTTATTACAAACCTCTGTGTCGGGAAGGCCCAGGCATGTCTGAGCAGGTCATTCCCTAACCTGCTGCCGCTGCTCCTTCCCTTGGAAATGCTGGGGTCCAGCATCCACTGATCAGCTAGACCTGATCCCAGGCCCACTCACACCATCCAGCCTCGCCCAATCGCCTTATTGTCCCCCTTCGGCTGCACTGACCTCCCATGATCTCCTCCCTGTGCCATCCCCCTCCCATGACTACTGTTCTGTCAAGCTGCTTTGATCACAGTGTCCCCAGGCTCCTCCCAGTTCAATCCAGTCACCTCCTGCCCCTTCCAGCATGAGATCCCCAGGGGGATCCCATCCCCACATCTCCCAGGGGAGACCCACCCCTCTTCCCTTTGCCACTGGGGAGGCAGCAAGACGTTGCCCTATGCTCCTGGAGCAACTCGTAGCCAAAGGACCTGGAAGGAAACTGCATTCTCTGGACATAGGCTGGAGTGCCAACTTATTCCCAGTAAAGTTGTGGGCAAGAGTGGGGAGGGGAGGGAAAGAAAAGGACATGGTCAAGCAATGGAGCTCACCCCGAAGAGGGTAGGAACCTGAGGGACAGGGAGTTTTCTAGGCTTGTGTTGCCTCAGTTTCCCTGCTCACACACAACTCCTGCCACCTTGTAGAGGGGACAGCATGAGCTCCAAAGTGAGGAAGGCAAGGCCCTCGCCCTGCAGCACCCTAGCATTCCCCACCATTTGTGACTACACCCCTGCTGTGCCTTTCGCACATCTACAAAGACACATGCACACATGGACACAAGGGCACACACTCACACGCATGCTCTATCTACGTTGCTTCATTGCCTTGAAGAGCTCCTCCAACTTCAGAGCAACGTGCAGATCGCCTTTCACCTGCAGCCTTCCGCTCATATAGGCACTCAAGGGACGAAGTTCACCCAGGAAGAGGTCCTGCAGGTCTTTCTCTGCCATCTCCAGAACCACATCAGGGCTGCCCTCTGGCAATCCGCGGCCAACTTGCCCGCTGCCTATAGGACGTGGACAGGTGGGAGGGGAAGAAACAGTGAGCCTCAGGATGCAAGCTTGCTTGTTAGAGTTTTCCCCCACTGTTTCACATGGATTGAATTGGGCCTGGTGACAGATAAGAGCCTGGCAGGGTGATTTTGGAGGAAGGAGTCCTTACTGAATGGGGAATATGGAGGCAAATTTCTCCTACATTGCTCCACCAATGTCCTGCTCCAGTAGCTCACTTCCAAGCCGTGTCCTGTTTTGTCAGGGCCACCAGGAAAACCACCACTGGTGCCCACAAAGTTCTGTGAGGGGGATGGGATATGGTGCTTTGAGGACTCCTGCCAGCATGGCATATGCCCGAGGTGCTATCCACATGTGTCCCTTCATCGTTACCCACTTGGGCTGGTTGTAGACAAGACCCAACACACCCAAGCATAGCCCTACGGTCTCTTAACAATCTCACTTGGTCAGTCACAAGGAGACCGGGCTGCCAAGTTTCCATTAGTGCTCTCTTTCTAACTGAAAATTACAGTTTGGATTTTCAGAGAGCATGGACTTAAGGCCTGAGTCGACAAACTACAGCACTTGGCTGAAAAACTCCAGGATGCCTTTCACAGAGCTATGAAATAGGATTCATTTTGGGTCTCGCTGCTTGGGGAGCCCCTCTACGACTGAGTTCTGCAGGGTATGCAGCATGCAAAGGAGACACAAGCAAAAACACCCTCCAGCCTTCAACATGCCAACTCCGAAGAAAGAAGAGCAGTGACCTGAGGAAAGGTCTATGAAATAGGTGCTCCGGACTCCACTTGGCAGGATGATGTTGACCTGGTAACATGCTCCCACCTGGCCAACCAAGGACTCGGACAGGAAGAGCTCCACAGCTGAGAGCAGCTCGTCCACGCTGGGTTTTCTCCTGCTGCTGGCGGTGGGGACGGCAGCAGTGGGAGATTCCACCTCATTCACGGTCTCCACGCTGTCTGCTGGGGACAAGGGTACAGAAGTAGGGTTCAGGGGAAGTAGAGAGGGAGCATTTGGATGGAAGCAGGTCAGCTGGACATAGCTGGTCTGCATGGATCCGCAAGCCATTCTACAGCAAAGGTCTCCTGAGCAGGCACATCCACTTAACAAGCAACTTTCCAGCTAAGCAAGAAGAAGAAAGCATGGTTTTGCCAGTTCTTACTGCCTGCTCCTTTGTCTGCAGTGGATTATTCTTCCCCTGGTACCCCTTTTTCCCTGAAAGACATTGCGGGGCACAAACTGGTGCGGGATTTCTGGAAAATGGGTCAGCATGTCATATGCTCCTCCAACTCCCACCAAATTTCATTTTCCTACTTGCCCTGATCTTCCTGGAGCCAAAATACCTGAAGAAGTAGGATATTTAGCTAAGCCAAAGACCCAGAGCTGCAGCCTAAATTTTTTTCTTATTAGAAAAAACAAGGGACCTGAACAAATATGTGGGTCTTTAGGTCTCCTGCCTAATCTTCACAGTGTGATTCAAAGCACCTGAGCAAGACCTCTCATCACAGCAACCCCAGCCAATCCCCTCTCTTTTAAACCACTGCTAAACTCTCTCCACCAAACCAGACTGCTTCCTTCTTAGTATTGTTATCAATAAGAGACAGCATCTGAGCCAAATCCTGCCCAAATGTTGCCTTCAAATGTGAGTATCAGCTCTCTCAGAAATTGCAGGGCCTTCCCTGACTTTGTCCTGATGTAAACGATGAGATCTAAGTTGCACGGGATCACATCCAACCTTGGAGCCCAGGTTCCCACAGATATGTTTCTCGTCTCCTGAGTGGCATCTCCAGTGTCTTATCATAAAGTTTATGTTGTGCTGAATGTTGTATTGAGCTGTGCCCTAAATACTTCTCTCTCCTCTCCCTGCTGGCCTATTTGCATTGCGCTTGTCATATCCTGGAGACTTTGACTCCTCTGTAAAACACAAGGGAAAGCACCAGCGGATTCAAAAGTCATTGGACTGGAGGGACAGGCACCTATGTAACAGACAAGGCATGGCACTGGAGCTGATTACCTGCCTCTGGAGCACTGTTGGCACTGCCCGTCAGAGCCAGAGTGTTGCCGAAGAGATGGGCAGCCAGCTGCTGAATGGTGCTGTCGAGTCCCTCCAGCCCTGGCACTGGTGGCAGGGGGGCGAGGGGGCCTGCCAGGTTCTCCTGGGGCAGCTGTAGCACAGCCTCCATGGTCAGCTCCACCCGGTCCACCTCAAGGCCCCAGGACTTGGTCATGTCATTAATCTCGAGCTACACAGGCAAGAACAGAGCAAGAGACACTGGCAGCCCAGTCAGAGCTGGGTACAGCCAGAAAGGCTGCTCACCACAGCATCCTTGATAACGGACATCCCACAGCTTATTTTGCACTTCTGCTACTGCCTGCTTTTAGCAGCGGAGTGCTGGAGGAGATGGCCCAGTACGGCTGCTCTCGCATTCAAGCATGCCCCCTGAGCTGGGAGCCGGAGGAAGAGAGCTAGCTCTGCATGGGGCCAGCTGGGGTCCAGCCAGGTGGCTCTGAGCAGGGTTATGAAGCCCTGAGAGGCCCAAGAGTGCTGTGCGTAGTTGCTGAGATATACACAGCCTGCGCAGGACAGGAAGGTGAGGACAGGCAAAGGGCTGCTTGCTTGCCCAGCTCAGACCGGAGCAGGTCGGGGCAGGGAAGACAGCTCTGTCTCGTTCCCCATTCAGTGACAGGAGTATCTGCTCCCTCCCAGGCTGCCCCTTTCCTCCATCTCCCATGGGCACCATGGCCTGGGGTAGTGCTTTGGCAGGCAGCATCTGTGGCTTCAAAAACATCCCAGATTCCCTAAGATACTTGTATATCCCAAAGACCTCCCCAGCCATCTCCTCTTCCTTCCCAAAGGCAGGACTGCCGTTAGCCAAGCAACTCAGCTGAACACCAACCAGAGATAGAGCCCTGCCCCTCACCCACAGATGGTCAGTCCCAGAGCTCTGCTCTCCTCAGCCCTGCGAACCCTCACCTCACCTCTCTCCCAGTCCTCACCTGCAGCAGTTTTATCCACAAGGTCTTGGCCTGCCTCCAGGTCTGTTGGGGGCAGGGTAGTTATTTCCCCTCGGCAGCTGCCCTGCCTCTCTCCCCAAAAGCCCTTTTCAGCTTGCAGCCCCCTCAGAGCAATTTCCCAGTGGAGACAGGGGTCGAATTTAAGCCTGCTGATAACACATTGGCTTTTCTATGTAACCAGACCTCTCGGACATATGCCACAGACCTCCAGAGATCCACAGCCAGAGGCTGAAGATACCTGCTCCGCATTAAACACTACTTCTTCCCATTTCCCCTCTTTTTGCTGGGGTTCACTGCCAGCTGGACTCTTCCCACATGGGGGAAACAGCTGCAATTTTCCCTTACTGTTATTTTCACACCCAGAGCTGAAGAGTTTGGGGAGAGAGTGGGAGCTCTGCATAGGCCTGGGGCAGTCCTCACCAGGAGTTGTTCCCCAATCCGCAACTTCTCGGCCTGGATCTCACGGAGGCTCTTCTTCAGCAGAGTCTTGGTCATGGCATTCTGTGCTGTCATGCGGGTGGTGGTGATGAGGTCCTTCACCATCATGACGGACAGCACTGGGTCCCACACCCGGAACTGGACATCAGCACCCATCGAGATGATAGCGCCATCTTTGGAGGTCAGCTGTGCAGAAGAGAGTCAGGCCGGCTGCACCTGGGCCAGCATCTGTCCCCCTTTCTGCCCCGTGGCCCAACCCTTGTCTTCAGAACCTGGGAGCAAAGACATTAACTTCTTTCCCCCTGCAACTGCAGCGTTTCAGTTGTACTTGGTGCCAAGGGCATGCAAGTAAGAGTTTAAGAGACCACGCAGCATTTCACTGGGGATCAGAGCATGCAAGAGGAGGAGTTCATATGCACTACTGCACGAGACACCCCACCATGCCTTGCCAGAGGAGTTCCATAGCCCAGGGCTACAGGGAGAGGGAAAGGAGTAGGCATCTGTGCTCAGCCAAAAGAGGGGCCCCAATTCATGCCTTGCATCAAGACCCACACTGCACCAGGCCTGCTGCAGAGACTGCTGCCTTAACTCTGCAAAACTGGAACAGCCCCCACCAAGTCCTAGCCGGACCAGTAGGCTACCCCTGTTCCATTTGGTCACTGAGCATCAACACGGGCAGCAACCCATACTTTAGAGCCATTTCTGGTCACAGGGAGCATGTCTGCACATGAGCACAAGGGAAGCTGGCTCTAGATCTCGTTATTAAGAGAGTAATTAGAAATAAACCTAACCCAAATGATCAAATTTGGACTAGTTGGAGTGGCAAGGCCTGTTGTCAGCCTGGAGTTTTTACTGAGAGACATCTAGACTTAGATGGGGCAGAAGGGTAGGGGCTGATATTTTCCGAGATGTCTCCAACCAGGAACATCCATTGAACAACACGTGCAGAGTCAAGAGAAGTTTTTCAACCACAGGTAGGCCCAGGGCTCCCAGGTTCAGAGCACTACGGCCCTCTCCCACCTTGTCACAGGAAAGAAGGATTGACAGTTGCATCCATGGAAGGAACCAAGGGCCAGACCTCTTCAAAAACCAGCTGTAGAAGGCTGCTCGGGGTGTTTTAGAGACATGTCCCCTGAGGCCATGGGACAGCTCACCTTGCAGGGTGGCACGTTGAAGGCCCTCGTCCTCAGATCCACTCGCTGCCAATGATCGATGAAGGGCAGCAGCAGGACAATGCCTGGCCCCTGCGGTGCCCGGATGCGGCCCAAGCGGAAGATGATCATTCGCTCATAAGCGGGCACAATCTGGAAAGGGGACACTTAGACCAGCACATTTGTGGAAGAGCAAACAAACCTCCAAGAAACATCACTACAACCATCCCATCTCTCCTGACAGGGTGTCCACCAGCACGTTTGGACAACACGAAGTCTGGTGAACCCTGTGCTGGGGGACCCAGCCTGACAGCCCTAAGAGCAGGTCTGTCTCCTCTGGAGCCCCTGCCCACACGCGGTTGCCCTGGGAGCCAGATCAAGCTTGATGCTAGACCACAGAGCTGCAGTCATCCACTGCCAGTCCTCACTGTGTGAGCCATGTGCCCCTCCAGCTCCCAGAGTGGGCTAGGGGAGAGGACCTCTCTTCCATCACCGATCCACAGGGTCATCCAAGGGCAGAGAGGACCCTTTGTGCTGCATAGCCTAGGCCCTTCCCAGCCTGCAGTTTGGGAGCATCAGGGCTGCGTCCTGAGCGGGGGCAGCTAGGAACAGCTCTGCCAGAACAGGTTTTTACTGACCTGTTCCTCACCTTCTGTCCTCGCTTACCTTCAAGGCAAACCAGCCCGAGATGGGGAAGGTGGCAACCATCAACAAGAAGACGAAGGACGTGATAATCCCATGGCAGATCCAGGACAGCCAGCCCTGGGAGGAATCTGCAGGAGGATGAAAGGGAATCTCTGCACCAGCTCTGATGGCCCCATTAGCCCCTTCCCTGCCCAGAAATCCCCAGCGAAGCCTCTGCCCTCCAGAAGTCCTGCACCTCTTGCCCCAGGGCTAATGATGGGGAGGCTGGCAGGGTGGGGGGCACACAGCTGGTGCAATGCCCCACAGAAAAACATGGCAATTGTGCCAGGGATGAAGGCAGCCTTCTTCCCCTGGTCTGGACTCACCTGCTCCGTTTGAGGTCTGCCCCAGAGGGTCTTGCTTGGATCCAAATGAGAAGAAGCCTTTCTGGGCACCGTAGAGCCCGATGCTGGATTGCTGGAAGCGGTCAAAGTCTCCCAAGGGAAGGGCTTGGTATCCCGACCTGCTG